GAGGGTAGATTTGAATATACCAGTTTTGTCGCCATCAGCCTACTAGGAAAACCTGAAGCAAGTTGTCTTCCATTAGCAGCTGAGGATTCTTCTTGCGCCTCAAAATTCTTGCTGCGAACTTGAAGTATTTGTCCGGAAAAAGAAGGCTTGTTTTTGCCCGGTTAGGAGTTCTGAGGGGTTGATTTCATGGTGTAGAAGCATGTGTCACCGGCAACACCTCAGCATCGCCAGCAAAGCAGCCTCTGCGGAGCCTTCCCAAAGGCACCTATATCTAGGCGCCGTTTTCAGACAGCGCGAGACAGCCAGACACCCCCAGCAACACCCCCAGCATCACCAGCAACGCATCTCTTTGCGGAGCCTTCCCCAATGAGGGTTAAACTAGTACCCTTCAATCGCCGCAAGACAGCCAAACACCGACCAGCATCACCAGCAACGAGTCCTTTGCGGAGCCTTCCCGAGTGGGGACTAAATTAATACCCACTTTCAAACGCTACAAGACAGCCAAACACCGCCAGCATCACCAGCATCGCCAGCAACACCCCCAGCATCACCAGCAACGCATCCTCTGCGGAGCCTTCCCAAAAGGCACCTGAATTTCGGTGCCGTTTTCAGACAGCCCCAGCATCCTTTGCGGAGCCTTCCTAAATGGGGGCTAAATTAGTACCCGCTTTCAAAGGTGGAAGACAGCCAGTATCACCAGCAACGCCCCAGCATCACATCCTCTGCGCTCTGCGGAGCCTTTAGGCGCCGTTTTCAGTCACCCCTAATCCCGCGCCTACCAAGCAAGCAAGGGTCAATTCAAGAGGATCCCTGCAAACAAAACTTCAGGAAGCACCTTCTGAGGACCCTTGTAGTCACTCCTGCGTTGCCATTTCAACCGTTTAGGAGCCTAAGTCCCTGCGGCGAGATTTTAGTCTTGGGTTGCAAGGGGCTTGCGGCTTGCGGGCTCTTCAATGCAACGCTTGGCCGAAAGGACGCACGGCGAGTTTTCCAGTTCTAGGCCAAAAGCATGCACAGCGAGTTTTCCAATGTTAGGCCAAAAGGATGTGCAGCGAGTGGTCCGCTGTTAAGCCAAAAGGGTTTGCGGCGAGTTTTCCAATGTTTGACAAAAAGACTTGTGGCGCGCTTTCCAATGTTAGGCCTGCAAGACTTGCGGCGAGTTTTCCAACGCTATTCCAATGTTAGGCCAGCAAGATTCGCGGCGGGTTTTCCAATGTTAGGCTAGCAAGAATCGTGGCGAGTTTTTCAATGTTAAGCCAACAAGTTTCAATGTTTGCCCAACAAGATTTCTGGCGAGCTTTTCAATGTTAGCCCAACAAGATGCGCGCCCAGATTTCCAATGTTAGGCCAAGAAGATGGGATGAGTTTCCATCGCAAAACAAGATGCGCTGGTGCAGGTTTCCACAAGAATAGCAAGATTTGTATGAAGTTGTCCAATGTTCAGGGCCAAGAGATTTGCACTTAGTTTCTAATATAAATAAGAAGATTTGTGGCGAAGCTTTTCACACAGGCCAGATCGTGGATGTTTTCCACATGAGTCAGCAAGAGGTGGCGAGTTTTCATCGTTAGGCCAACAAGAGGGTGGCGAGTTTTTCATCACAGCTCAGCAAGATTTGTGGCGAAGCCTTCCAATGTTAGGCCAAGAAGTTTGCGGCGAGTTTTCCACGCAGGCCAACAGATTTGTATAGCTTCCACGTTAGGCCAACAAGATTTGTGGCGAGCTGCTCAGCGAGGAGCTCTCCACAAATGTTTGAGCCAATGCGGAGGAAGCCCAAAATCTCTCCACAACTCAACTTCACCCAGAACTTGTTTGTGGAGAGTTCCTCAGCGAGGAGCTCTCCACAAGGGGGGGGGGGGCTGGGGGAGGGAGGGGGCGGCAGAGCCTGTGTTCACATCCTTGCTGTGTGCTCTCAATAGACCACCCCCCTCCACCCCCCTCTGGTGGAGAGCTCCTCGCTGAGGAACTCTCCACAAACCAGTTCTGGGTGAACTTGAGTTGTGGAGAGATTTTGGGCTTCCTCCGCATTGGCTCAAACATTTGTGGAGAGCTCCTCGCTGAGCAACTCGCCACAAATCTTGTTGGCCTAACATTGGAAAACTCGCCACAAATCTTGTTGGCCTAACATTGGAAAACTCGCCACAAATCTTGTTGGCCTAACATTGGAAAACTCGCCACAAATCTTGTTGGCCTAACATTGGAAAACTCGCCACAGATCTTGCTGGCCTAACATTGGAAAACTCGCCAGAAATCTTGCTGGACTAACATTGGAAAACTCGCCACAAATCTTGTTGGCCTAACATTGGAAAACTCGCCACACATCTTGTTGGCCTAACATTGAAAAACTCGCCACACATCTTGTTGGCCTAACATTGAAAAGCTCGCCACACATCTTGTTGGCCTAACATTGGAAAACTCGCCACAAATCTTCCTGGCCTAACATTGGAAAACTCGCCACAAACCTTCTTGGCCTAACATTGGAAAACGCCACAAACCTTGTTGGCCTAACATTGAAAGCTCGCCACACATCTTGTTCTAACATTGGAAAATTCGCCACACATCTTCTTGGCCTAACATTGACAACTTGCCGCACATCTTGTTGGGCTAACATTGAAAAGCTCGCCCGGAATCTTGTTAGCCTAACATTGGCAAACTCACCACACAGCTTCCTGGCTTAACATTGGCAAGCTCGCCACGAATCTTTCTTGCAGGCCTAACATTGGAAAACGCGCCACAAGTCCTTTTTGCCAAACATTGGAAAACTCGCCGCAAATCCTTTTGCCTTAGCAGGGGACCACTCGCTGCACATCCTTTTGGCCTAACATTGGAAAACTCGCTGTGCATCCTTTTGGCCTAGAACTGGAAAACTCGCCGTGCGTCCTTTCGGCCGAGCGTTGGAGAGACCGCAAGCCGCAAGCCCCTTGCAACCCAAGACTAAAAGCTCGCCGCGGAGACTTAGGCTCCTAAACGGTTGAAATGGCAACGCAGCTCGAAGCAGGCTGCGGGGAGGAGTGACTACAGGGGTCCTCAAGAAGGTGCTTCCTGAAGTTTTTTTTCAGGAATCCTCTTGAATTGACTCTTGCTTGCTTGGTAGGCGCGGGATTAGGGACTGAAAACGGCGCCTACAGGCTCCGCAGAGCGCAGAGGATGTGTTGCTGGTGATGCTGGGGGCGTTGCTGGTGATACTGGCGGCGCTTGGCTGTCTTGCGGCCTTTGAAAGCGGGTACTAATTTAGCCCTGATTTGGTGGGGGTGTCTGGCTGTCTCGCGCTGTCTGAAATATCGGCACCTAAATTTAGGCGCCTTTTGGGAAGGCTCCGCAGAGGATGCGTTGCTGGTGATGCTGGGGGTGTTGCTGGTGATGCTGGCCGTGTTTGGCTGTCTTGCGGCGATTGAAAGCGGGTGCTAGTTTAACCCTCATTGGGGAAAGCTCCGCAAAGGATGCGTCGTTGCTGGTGATGCTGGGAGGCTGGGGGTGTCTGGCTGTCTCGCGCTGTCTGAAAACGGCGCCTAGATATAGGTGCCTTTTGGGGAGGCTGCGCAGAGGACGCGTTGCTGGCGATGCTGGGGGTGTTGCCGGTGTGACACATGCTTCTACACCATGAAAACAACCCCTCAGACCTCCTAACCGGGCAAAAACAAGTCTTCTTGTTCCAGACAAATACTTCAAGTTCGCAGCAATAATTTTGAGGCGGACGCAAACACAATTTAAGCAGTGTGCCTGGCGACGCGTTCCCTCCTACGGGTGTTTGATGCTTTGCCAAAATAGTTGTCAATGGAAGACAACAATTGCTTCAGCGACAAGACTGTTGTCTTCAACTCTTCCCTCTACCTTTGGTAGCTTTGCGGTGAACAACAGCACTAGTAAGCCCCCTCTCTCCCAGAAACAGTCAAGGGTTTTGAGCTTAGTTTGACCTGTTTTTTCCGGGGTCCTTACAGCAATGTGGGATCAACCTTGCGCGCGTTCCATTTTGCTCTACATGTGGAGCGTGCTGCGTGATGTAATCAGGTATATTGTGTGTCCCGCTGTGACTTGCCAGCATACCGTGTGCCGCAAGCTACTTGCGCGCTCTGGGCTAAACCGGATCCATTCAGCCCAGTTGGCGCTACCACATGTCGCAGCTAGCTCAAAACACCCGCCGGCTGAAACCGCCGGCGGCCACGCAACCTTGTTAAAGTTGCAGCCTGTTCCACGCGCGAATTTCCGTGAATATCAAAATTCAGGGGCGGGCTGGTTCTGAAGGAATAAAACACAAAAATGTGTTCTTGAAGGTGTTTTCCAGCACCAGGAGCGCTTTGTGGGTTTTGGAAGATTGCTGCGCAAAAACGGAGCAGGCTGGATTTTTGGACGAGGCCTTTTGGCTTGGAAATTTGCGCTTTGGTGTGTTCTTTCCATATCACACCTGGTCATTTTGGATTGTTTAAATCCGTGTCCAAGGATGTGACAAAGCGCAGCGCAAATGCCTTGCCTGATAAATAGGCTCAGTCTGGCAGCTCTTGACGCAGCTGCCACCTGCCAACTCCAGACTGGCAGCTGCCGGCGTCAGACTGGCACCTCCGATTTGGAACTGGAAGCTGCCAGATCCAGCTCCAGACTGCCGGCCGCCAACCTCAGTTTGGAGCTGCCAGCTGCGTCTCCAGACTGGCAGCTGCGGGCTACTCCAGCAGCTGCCAGCTCCAAACTGGCAGCTGGGCTGGGCCAGCTCCAGGAATCAAGGGCGCTGAAGCGGCCGGACACGGCAAAGTGGAAGGAAACCGCCGAGCCAGAAGTGGCCGAAGTGGCTGGATGTGGCCGGAAACGCCGGAAACGTCCAGCAGTCGCCGGAAGTGGTCGGAAAGCAAAACACGAGAAAATAAAGCGAAACAAAAATATATAGAAAAACAAAAATCAGGAAAATTGCGCGCCGGGTGCTCCTGCTTTGGAGAGCCACTTAGCAATTTAATGGTTTAATATGTGCTCCATGTGGACATTTTTGGACGAGGCTACTTCCAGCTTCTTCCGGCCTCCAAAATTGCGATCGGACGGGTGTCAAGGTTCGGCGTCCTCAGACGCCGCGTGCGCAAAAAGGTGTCCAACGCGCATCGAGGGAGGGGCCAAAGCAGCTCTTTGGCAACATCAGGTACGGATTTCGTTGCAGGCGCAGCATTTTCGCAAGGTTAGGCGCAGGTTTCGTGCCACGTGCTGAGATCAGGAACAGATATGCCAAGGGTGTAACAAGAATGAGCAAGGAAGTTTGGCCCACAGAGGCGCAACGATAACGAGGCGCGGTCGTTCGTGTGCCGTGGGATGTGGCTCCAGGAAAGCAACGAGAATGAGCTGGAGTCATCCGTGCGCCGGTGGGATTTGGCTTGGCGGAGGCGGCAGGTGACGGCGGCGTGCGCCGGTGGGATTTGCTTCTGCGGAGGCAGCCAGCGCCGAGGTGACGGGAGGTGCTGGAGGCCGCGTGCCGGTGGGATTTGGCCCACAGAGCGCAGCGAGCAGACCAGAATGTTGGTTTCCACAGCCCAGCAAGCCCCGGTCTAGTTTAGCGCACAGCTTGACGACGTGTTTGCTAAGCTTGCTTTCTTGTTAGTTTGCTCTTCCCTCACGCGCAGCGATTCAAGCTTAATGGAAAGGGATGTAGTAACCTTCACGCAGGCAATAGCAGCATTGTCGGTCTGCCTGTGTCGCCCACGAGCTCCTGCCTGCAAACTGCTTGGGCAAGCAGTTAATCACAAGTATTTGTCTATCTTGGTTTTTGGGTTTGCCGGCTCTCCTTGTTTAGCTAAGGATAAGCCGAGGATCAGCCAGGGTAAGCTCAGCATAAGCCAGGATAAGCCAAGGATAAGCCAGTGTAACCGGAGGATAAGCCAGGAGAAGCCAAGGAAAGCCAGGACAAGCCAAGGAGAAGCCAGGGATAAGCCAGGATAAGCCAAGTGCGTGGCAGGCGCAGCAGTGTGGCAAGGTCGACAGAAAGAGATAGACGTTTGGCTGTTTTAGAATGTCTGGGGTTCTCCAGACATGGAGAAGTGACTTGCTGAAAGGCTACGAGAGGTGACAAATGGCGTGACCAAAGGCGTGGCTAGAGAAGTGACCAGAGACGTGACTATAGAAACGTGAGTGTCGGGAGTGACAGAGGAACAAGCTACCGAGCACACACACACACCTTACACAGCCCACGGACACGGACAGGTAGGGACGCTCAAGCCCCTATCATGTAAGAAGGAAAAGGGTTGGATATCATGATGATTGCTGAAAGCTTGTTGTTCAAATAGCGCCCTCGTAAAGCTTTGTGCTATGTCCATCGCGTGGCACTCCTTCGGAGGCCTGTGTGACCAGCGGAATTGCCAACATCCAGCTCGGCGCACCAAGGGTTAGCGTAACGCCTTTCTCTTTTAACGTATCAAACGCTGGACCAACCGCGTCACCGAAGCCTGCCTCCAAAGCGTTTGAAGGGCAATTCAATTGGCCGACCGCGCAAAGCAAGCGCTCAATATGCACAGGATAAGACCTGTTGCGGCCCTTTTTCCAAACAATCCTCTGGGATTGTTTCTCGTTTAGTTGTCTAACATGTTTGCAGCAACTGGCCAGGAAATGGCCGAACAGGTGGCCTGCCGGCTGAATTGCCGGCAAGAACGGGACAGGTCCAAGTGTGCCGAAGTTTTGCCGAGTTTGCCGCATAGTCGGGACTGTTGGTGACTGCGCCGGCTGAATTGCAACGAGGTGCTGGAGGGCTGGAGGCCGCGTGCTGGTGGGATTTGGTCCACAGAGGCGCAGCGATACCAAGGCGCGGTCGTTCGTGCGGCGGTGGGATTTGGCTCCAGGAAAGCAGCGAGAATGAGCTGGGGTCATCTGTGCGCCGGTGGGATTTGGCTTGGCGGCGGCGGCAAGGATGGAGGTGATGGCGGCGTGTGCCGGTGGGATTTGCTTCTGCGGGTTCTCGTAGCAGCGCCTCTTGTCACGTCTTTGGTGACATCCTTTGTCGCGTCTCACGTAACAACGTTTCTTGTCACATCTATCGTCTCGTAGCTAGTCACGCTGTTGGTCGCGTCCCTTGACAGGTCTTGTAACAACTCTGGCCACGTCTCTCGTCATGACCATCGTTGCATCTTTCATCAGCCTCTCGTCGCGACTACGAAGCATCTCCCATCACTTTCTTGAGTCTCTGGTCACGTCTCTGGTCACTACCCTCGCCACGTCTCTTCTCACACGTCTCTTGTCATATTTGCCGTCCCGTCTTGTCTCTTGTCGCATCTCTCGTCACGTCTCTGGTCACGCCTTAACTCGCGTCTCATCGCGACTCTCCTTGCACGTCTGCTGTCACACCCATATGGCCCATAACATCCATCGTCACGCCTCTCGTCGCGTCTTTGGTCACGTCGCGTCTCGTCGCGACTCTCCTCGCACGCCTCTTGTCACATCCACCACATCCATCGTCACGCCTCTGGTCACGTTTTTGGTCACGTCCTTTGTCACGTATGTCGAAACATCATGACTTTCATCTTATCTTGCAATCACGTGTC